AAAAAAAAAAAAAAAAAAAGACTGCGCGCTGCCCACGTGGCTTTGACAATCCATCTCCTCTCGGACTCTCTCTCTCTCTGTATAAGTGAAAATTGCGTTGCGTTTCTTCAAACTTGTTCTATTCAGTTCTCATCTTCCGCATCCAACTTTCTTCCGATTGATCGGCGGTAAGTACCCTCCGATACCGATTCTTAATTTTCTGTGAAAATTAAGAAAAAAAAATTGTCGTGATATTTTGTTGGGTTTAGTCTGAGATCTTGATTTTATTAATAAATCCGGTCAGATCTGTCAAGTTAAGAGTTAGCGATGGCATTCTTCAGGAGCATAGGTGCACTATCAAGGCTGCGTTCTCGCGCCGTAAGTTTACCAACGACAGCCATGATTGATGCATCTTTTGTTTTGCGTGAACTGTGCTGTCTGTATATCATAATTTGTCATAAAAAATGTTTCAGGGTCAGCAGCCTTGTCTTAGCAATTCTGTTAGATGGCTTCAGATGCAGAGTTCCTCTGATCTTGTAAGCCATTTTTTATTTATCCTCTTTTCTCTTTCTTGTTATGTAGATTTATGAAGCATGTGGATTTTTTTTTTTTTTTTAATTTTTGGGTTAAAATAAAAACATAATTTGCTTTATTATGTATGTATGTATGAACTTGTATTTGTATGTTTTTGTTACCTAAGTTTACATCCAATCCATATATATATATATATGCACTTGGTATTTTCATGCTTGTAAATTTGTACTGCTTTTATTCATCTTCTTTGTATATAACTACCAATTTAATGGTATATTTATGTATTAACGGGTTTTAAATATTACTGGTACTCTTTTTTTTTTTTTGGTTTTCCTTTATCTTTGTGTTTTTTCTGATCCTTTTATTTGTGCCTATACAGGACCTTCATGCTCAGCTAAAGGAATTGATTCCAGAACAACAGGTGATTTTTTCTTCTTCAAATTGGTTCCTTTTTTTTTCTTTTTTTTCCTTTCAAACATTTTAAAACTGCTGCCGCAAATGATGTTTTCATTAGTTGTTTATGAAAACTCTGCGTCCAGCTTTTCTGCTGTGCTGTCCTTCAACCATTTAAATGTAGAGTTTCCTTCACTGAATACTCTTTTTTCTGTTTGTTTTCAGGAGCGCCTAAAGAAACTCAAGTCGGAACATGGGAAAGTTCAACTAGGAAATATTACTGTTGATATGGTACATTTTATATTTATTTTTCATTTTTCGTATGTTAGCATGGCTATGCACTTATGACAATTTTATTTTCATTTTTCTTTTACTTTCGTAAGGTGCTGGGTGGAATGAGAGGAATGACAGGGTTGCTGTGGGAAACCTCATTACTGGACCCAGATGAAGTATGAATATCATTACATTATCTCACTCTTTGAGTTTGGATGACTTCATATGTAATACTGAGATTTTGCTTCACCTTGATGCTCAGCTAGTTAAACTTTGGGCATTGTGTATTACTAACCTGTTTCTAATAAAGGGTTTGCTGCTGTCTACCCAGGGAATACGTTTTAGGGGATTGTCAATTCCCGAGTGTCAGAAAGTATTACCAGCTGCAAAGCCTGAGGGAGAACCTTTGCCTGAGGGTCTTTTGTGGCTTCTCTTAACTGGAAAGGTTTGTGTCTGCCACATCTAGGGTCTAGGGTTTGGCAGGGTACTCAGTCTATTGACAAACCACATACCCCTCCCCTTCTTTTATATCTCAGGTACCAAGCAAAGCACAGGTTGATGCTTTATCAAAGGAATTACGTGACCGTGCAACTGTCCCAGGTTTGTAGTTTACCTTTCTTGTTGAAATTGCTATTTACTTGTTTAGGACCAAGGTTATTACTGACCAAATCATTTTGTTTTATTTATTTCCTGTCAACCTCAGAAATGGAGATTTTATTGAGTTGTACTATCTTTCAATTAGCATTACCAGAATAACCCAGCCCTTTAGTAACCTTCTCATTCTATGCGTGATTTAATTTCTTGAATCAAGAGAGGTTTTTGGTTAAGATTCAAATCAGTGGGTGACTCCACTAATTTGATGAACGCATGGATTGACATACCTGAATCATATTGTTCTAATAGCTGTGGGAACAATATACATCATGTTGGTTAACTCAGTATTTCCTAATATCTCCGTCAATACTGAAATCTTGTAATCCTATCTCATTTGTTATGATCAATATCATAATTTTTTTTTTCTAAAAAAAAAAAGTACTTTTTCTCTTTTACTTTTCATTGCAGATCATGTCTTTAAGGCCATTGATGCTCTGCCTGTCTCAGCTCACCCAATGACTCAGTTTGCAACTGGTGTGATGGCCCTCCAGGTTGGTAGATGTTCTGAGTATAGGAGTTCTTTCACTGCCATTGTATTCTATAGTTAAAGCCTTTACAAGCATGGCCAAGATCCTTTTGGTTGAGTTTCATGTTCATAAATCATACCTTTTGGTTTTGCTTCAATGTGTAAAAGCTCAGACGATGTGCTTCTGATAAAAGCTTTAAGGTTCTTTGAGTTTTATCAAGGTATGGTAACCATTGGGGCATGTTTGTTAATACATTCAAACTTAATTAACACCAACTGTTTTCCTGTTTTATCTATGTAATTGTACATTGAATTTCCCTTTTTTCCAATCTGTTTCTTATAACTTCAACTGCCAATTGATATTACAAAGGAGGTACTATTTTATTCTAGATTGCCTTGTTCAGCCTCTGTAAGTAGATATGGAGATTTAACTAACTCCAGGTTTCTTGGTATTATCTCCCAGGTTCAAAGCGAATTTCAGAAAGCATATGAGATGGGAATACCAAAATCAAAGTAGGATTTTTAGTGGTTACAGTGTTTTAACTCAGACCTTATTTTTGTCAATCATACGAGCATTGCAATGTCAAATTAATTTCAGGTACTGGGAGCCAACATATGAGGACTCTCTTTCTCTGATTGCTCGTGTGCCAGTGGTGGCTTCATATGTCTATAGAAGGTGTGCCTTGTTTGTTATTCCAAAGACAAGTTCATAGATAATGTTCAATTGTGATATTCTAGTTCTTGTCAGATTTTCCAGAGGACCTGGAAAAATTTGTTTGTGTAAAATGATTTCTCTCCAAGATTCTATTCATTTTACCTGGCTTAGCCATTGTCCTTTGTCTGTGTTTGATCCCTTTTTTTCAAAAAAAAAAAAATATGTATTCACTTTGTTTTGTAGAATATACAAAGATGGGAAAATTATTCCCATGGATGACTCCCTGGATTATGGTGGGAACTTTTCACATATGTTGGGATTTGACAGTCCCCAGATGCAAGAGCTTATGAGGCTCTATGTCACCATCCATAGGTTTGTATTTGTTATTCTGCTCTTGAGAGACCTGTTATGGCATGCTGATGCTGGGTTGCAAATATTGTTTATCTTTTTCACCAGTGTGTTATAGAGAAAAAGAACTCCCACGCAACTTATTTTTACATAATCAATTATAATAATGTTATTTCTGATATTCTGCTGCAGTGATCATGAAGGTGGAAATGTTAGCGCCCACACTGGCCACCTGGTAGGTTAGCATGGTTTTGATCGCTACAATTCTGCTATTATTAAAGTCACGTTCTTGAGTTGAAAAGCTAGCTGGTCATTCTTTAAACTTATGCTCTCATCATCAATAATCCTTGTTTCTACATAACATATACTCTTGTTTGTTTTATTTATTTGATGTGTTGGATTTAGGTGGGTAGTGCTCTATCAGATCCTTATCTTTCATTTGCAGCTGCATTAAATGGTTTGGCCGGACCCCTCCACGGTTTGGCTAATCAGGTACAAGATCCTTTGTGATCATTTTGCCTATACTATATACTAGTCTTATCTAATGTTTTGAAGCAAAAATTGTTTGGTTCGAAGTAAATTATATATTAAATTATGGAAATAAGTTTGCTTGTTTGCTCATTTAAATTTGCAAATATTTGCAAAATCATTGTCATCTTCTTCAAATCAGCTGATGTGCTACAGTAAAAGGAATCAAGAGCTAGTACATTAGCCTCCTGTTCTTATTTAGCTGTCATATGCTTATAAAAAGTAAAAGTCTAGTTTTTGTATCCTGATGATTCTACCCATACTTCCTTTCGTCATGATTATGACTGCAGGAAGTTTTGCTTTGGATTAAATCAGTGGTGGATGAATGTGGGGAAAACATGACAAAGGAACAACTAAAAGACTATGTTTGGAAGACATTAAATAGTGGGAAGGTAATGTTTGAAGTTTACTTTGAAGTCAAACTGTAGGTTTTCAAATAATTTTATGTGCATTAAGCTGCCTTAATTGTGTGTTAAAGGAAATTTGGTGTAGTTTATTATCTGGCATAATAGATAAGTTGTGCTCTGCTTTGTTTTGGCGATAACTATCTTCTAAGGTTCTAATCCTCCATTAAAATTTTCAAATTTTCTTGGGATTAAGTCCTGATACTGTTTTTGAAGTGGGAAGAGAGATTTTTAAATGAATGACATGAATATTCATCCTCTTCTTTTTTTGCTGCTGTTGTACTGTGGAAGAGAGAAAGGGTAAAACATCACTTTTTTAATGGTTTTCCATCAACTTTATTCTTGAACAAAAGCAGGCTTTCTCTTCCTTTTGACCATTGATACCAGAGTCTCATTTTGACGTTAATTGGAAGATTGGTTTGGCTAGTATAATCAATATGCTAGCTTTTTTTCTTGCACATAAATAAAATGCTCTGTTTTATATGCAGGTTGTTCCTGGCTTTGGTCATGGAGTTTTGCGTAAAACTGATCCAAGGTACACATGCCAAAGGGAGTTTGCATTGAAGCATTTACCTGATGATCCACTGTTCCAGCTGGTTGTAACTCATGCCTCAACAGTAGAACTTATGACACTTAGTTGTTCTTTACCTTCCTTGCTTACCATGCCTAACCATTTTTTTTCATCTTTCAGGTTTCAAAGCTATATGAAGTGGTACCTCCTATTCTTACCGAGTTAGGCAAGGTAATCTTCTGAGTTCTCGTCCATTTTGCTAGACCAAAAGACACTTGAAAAGATTCTGCATGGTGCCCTAATGCACAAGAAAAAACTGTTGTGCCTGTATTGCATGTAGTTCTAGAATCCTGAATAAACTGCTGAGTAATTGTTTGTCTGAAATGAATGATAATGTTTGATGAGGATATCATTACTACTGGCATCATTACAGTTGCATTGTTTCCTATGTTAAATAAGGCCATTATCTGGTGGGTGTTGGACAAAGTTATGTAATTATCGCCACATCTGTCTTATGTCTATTATTTTACAATAGGATTTGGTTTAGACGTTGATCCCATATTCTAACATGTGTTGTTTTGTGAGTGGTCTCTTTGTTTAAATTGGAATGTTATGATGCTGTAGGTGAAAAACCCATGGCCCAATGTAGATGCGCACAGTGGGGTGCTCCTGAACTATTTTGGTCTCACTGAGGCAAGGTATTGCCTGGAACTCTTTTCTGAATTGCTATTAAAAATAATAATAACAATAATGGTTGTTTAATAATTTTGCCTGTGAGGAGATGATGATATTCTTAAATGTGTAATGAACAGATACTATACGGTTCTTTTTGGTGTGTCAAGGAGTATTGGGATTGGCTCGCAGGTATGTTGTTGTGTAATTTTGCGTGATTTCAGTAACACTGTTGATTTTTATCCTAAAATTGCTTCTATTTGTTCAGCTGATATGGGACCGAGCTCTTGGTTTGCCACTTGAGAGGCCAAAGAGTGTTACGATGGAATGGCTTGAGAACTACTGCAAGAAGGCAGAAGCAGCATGAATTGATGTAGACTGACTGACTGACTGACTGCCTTTGGTAGTGGTAGTAATAATAATAATAATAAATAACTGCTCACAAAGCCCTTTTTTTTGGTTTTTGGGTGAAAGGAATGAGGGGGTCACAGTGCAGACAGTTAAATGGGTAGAGGAACAACCTAACTCTTTTTCTTTTTCTTTTTTTTTTTTGGTGTTTTTCCCATTAAATTTTGAATTTAATTCAATTTCGATACGACCTTGCTTTGTTAAGTGCCTGGTTTGGTAGAAATACTTTGGGCGATGTATTTACAATAATAATAATAAAAATATAATCGGAGTCAGGATTTTACACGTGTAAGTTAATTTATATAAAATTATCTAATAATGGGTGAGAACTTGAGATGATACTATGATCCTATATTTAATGCAATATTTTTTTTTATTAGTCATGATAAAGAAAGTTTACATTAAATTGGTGCGTCACTAGGTTGGCAAGCTTTTTTTTACTGTAGTTAATACAATATTATTCCAACGGTTTTATATTAAAATCGTAATTGGGGAATTTCAACAATAATTTTCGAGAGCTGCACTTTCTTAAAATAAAAAGATTTATCTAATTTATACTTTTATAATGCATATTAAGAATGTAATTAATATATTCTTTAATATTAATGTGTATAAAAAATAATAAAAGTTAATATTAATTTTATTATTAATGTTTATGAATTGTTTTAATTGAATGATTGATTAAATAAATATGAATTTTTATTTTTTTAATGATATTAATACTAAAGAAATGTTCTTAATCTATACTCTAAATAGGTAAGGTAGCAGAACCCAAAATAAAAATAATAATAAAATAATAATAAGCCGCGCAACAAAACAGAATCAAAGGACATTTCGCATGGAATGAACTAAATT